ACCTTTCAACTCTTGCCTTCAGCATCTTCGCGTTCTAGATCATTGGGCGGTATAGTACTACTTCGCGAAACTGCTCGGCGACACGCCGACTGCTCCATTTCATCGCCAACGTGATCTTTCCCTTCAAAGCTCAGCACACTGGAACAAAAGGCGAGATTGTAGGACTTTCGGCGACTCGCCTAATGGATTAGGCGATTGTCAAGCCATCTTTTCTTCCTTTTTTCAGCCACTTTGTTCCCTTTTTTTGCTCGTTAGCGTCCATGCTTTGTCTCTCAATTTAAATACCTGAAACTTAAGGGTTTACATCAGATATTGAAACAAAATATGCATTTGAGTACACTAATTCTATAAAAAAAAAACAAGCCTTAAATGAGTCCAAATCGTGGACTCATCAGTAGTGAGGTACAACTTTGTAAAGATGATGAGCTTTCTCCATAGGCAATCAACAAGAGCATGAAAGGGAAGAGTAAAAATGATAAAGGTGCTAAAGGGGAAATTTCATCTAAGCCAACGAGGGTACAGGATAAAAGGGTGGCTAAATCCGTTAGTAAATGATACAAAAATCTTTATTTTGGAATATAAGGTCTGTGAGAACTCAAAATGCTTTTCATAGAGTTCAAATGCTTCATATACACCATAAGTTGTTTTTGATTGCATTATTGGAACCATTCCAAGATGTAAGACAAATTCAAAAGTATAAGAGGAGATTGGGGATGCAATATGTCAACTATAATGCCAATGGTCAAATTTGGATATTTATAAATGATCAAATTCAGGTTGGGGTTGTCTCTGATTCCAAGCAGCAATTATCTCTTCAACTTACTCTAGCAGATGGGAGGCAATTTTTAGTTACTATTATTTATGCTAAATGCAGTGCAGCTGAAAGATTGATGTTGTGGGATGACCTATATGCTTTGTATGATAACTACTCGATGCCTTGGTTGGTATGAGGTGATTTTAATGTTATTTTGAGTGAGGAGGAGAAGATTGGATGCCTTCCTGTATACCCTCAAGAATATGAGGATTTTTCTTTTTGCATAAATTCTTGTGAGTTGGAAGATGTATCTTTCGTTGGGAGTCTGTTTACATGGTGGAATGGAATGATAGATTCAGAATGTATATTTAAGAGGCTGGATAGGGTTGTGGTCAATCAGTCTTTGCAAGAATTGATGGGAAGGGTGGATTTGCAGCATCTTGCTAGAACTGGATCGGATCATGTCCCTCTTTTGATGACTTGTAAAAGAGTTACTTCTGAACTAATATCCAAACCTTTCAGATTTCTGAAAATTTGGACATTAAGAAAAGATTTTATGGATGTGATAAGAGATAACTAGATTTCTAAAGGTACATGTGACATTTTTGTTCAAGCAGTTGGTGTGAACACCTAATTTTTATCAAAACATCAAGATTTTACACCAATTTTAATACTTAAATATTATAATTTCAGTAGGGTTATATTTAAAATAAATGAAAATATAAATCTGAAAATTACAACAGATTATAAGCTCACTTTACGTTTAAAGTTTAATAAAGAAAGCTTGTGAGTTTAATATATTTGTTTTAATCCTTTAACTTTTAACTAGTCTAAAAAAAATAATTGTATATCTTAAGAAAAATTAGAAAAAAAAAGATAAAAAGAAGAGTCCAAACAATTGTAAATTACCTTACCTTTATCCTAATTACCCCCAACTTCCTTAACTTATTTCTTAAAAATCCTCCTCCCATGTAGTTTTTTTTTTGTTTTTTTGCCTCTTGCACGATCTTTTCTCATTTATTTTACACGTTTCTTTTTGTTTATTATTATTAATTTTCTTTTCTTTTCTTTTCTTTCTTTTCTCTTCGTTCTTTCTTTTCTTTTTGTTTGTTTTATTATTATTTATTATTTATTTTGTTAATATTATATTACTATTTTTTATTTCATTCCTTTATCTCAACCCTAAAATTTTCAACTAGATTTCAAACTAAACTCCCCACTCTTTAACGTTCCTTTAAGTTAGCACCAGACTCACACCTAAAATATTATAAAAACACGCTTAGTAAAGAGATTAAAGGGAGAATACACGCATACACACAGGCGAGAAAAAAAAAACTAGAGCAAAAGCAAAGAGAAGAAAAGTGAGTTTTCTTTTGAGAATTAAGTCTAGAGTTGGAGATTTTGTTCGTGGTTCCAAGTTTGTGGATCTTAAAGTTAGCCTTGCTAAACTTTGGAAATCTGTAGATTTCACGTTATTCTTCATTGTTTAGTCAAAAACAATTTGAAGGTGCGTTCTTGCCTTAGCCTATTTATATATTTTTTTTATTTTGAATTTTTTTCATGTAAACTATATGTTTAATCCTTTTTGTAGAATCATGAAAAAAAAATATGTATCCCATGAATTTCTCAATTTTTTCTTGAACAATGTTTCATGTTTTTGTTTTTAGCTTCATGTTATTTTTTCCGTAATTTAAGAAGACATAAGTGTGTTTTGTTTGTGATAATTAGATATTAATTTCATATATTTAATCGCATGCTCATTACTTAAATTGATTATTAATCGATGTGATTAGAAGATAATAGTTTAATTTAATTGATTAGTGATTCAGAAAAGTTTTTGTGGACTATGTTTTAGTCTTTTTAATATATTAAAAATAATTTGTCTTTATAATAAGAGTAAGATGATTATCGCTTTAATTCGAATTGTTAAGGTATATAATTAAGAGGTATGACTATTATTAAGGGCTATATGGTAAAAAATAAAATAAAAAATGAGGAAGATTGATTAGCAAACCAGTAAAGAAAAACAAAATAAAAGAAGAAGAAGAGAAACAGAATGTCCAAAAAAGAATTAAAATATTAAAATAAAGGATAAAGTAGAAGGAAATAGAAAAAAAAAAACGTAAAAAAAAAAAAAAAAAAAAAAAAAAAAAGAAATACGAAGAGACAGAATGAAAAATAAAATAAAATAAATAAAAATATAAATTAATAATACCAAAAAAAAATGTAAAAAAGGAAAAAAAAAGTAAGGAAAAAGACGTGCAAACAAAAAACAAAAAAAAAAGAAATTAAAAATAAAAAGGAAAAATCTTTCTAAAAATAGTCTTAATCTATTTAGAATTTCTTGCTAAAACTAATTACAAATCATATAAAATTTTATTTCTATTCTAAATCTAACTACAAAATACAATCCTAAAATACTCAAACTCAAAAAATCTCAATCCTACACAAATTCTAATTCCTAGCAATTAGATACCTACATATTTTCTATCCACAATAAAAAAAATACAAATACATGAAAAAAGGAGAAGAAAAGAAATTACAGGACATTTCAAGATTTGTAAATATCCATCTCTTAACTTTATTTTACTATTATGTTTAAATAAATTTATGTGATATCCATATTTTTAATTAATGAACATATATTAATAAAATAAAGTAGTCTTAAATAGGTTTAAAATAAATCAAAGAATGAGGGTAAATAACATTTTTATTAAGTTAATAATATAATATTCAAAAATTAATTTAAGTCATATATATAATCAATAAAGCGACCGTGCTAGAACCACGGGACTCGAGGGGTGCCTAACACCTTCCCCTTAGTAAATAGAATTCCTTACCCGAATTTCTAGTTCGCAGACCAATAAAAATAAAGAGTTAAAATTCCTTTCGATGAGGGGTTTAAATAATAAGGTGACTTGGAACACCAAAACTCAATTCCAAGTGGCGACTCTGAATAATAAAATAATCTCTTTTCAAAATGTCACTTTAGTTGGAAACACTTTTTTTCTTTCAAAACATACATTTAAATTTTGAGGAAAAATAAGGGGTGTGACAGATGACGACTCTGTTGGGGATAACCAGAATTCGAGCTGGTAAATATTGACTTGGGTATGAATTTATTCATTTATTTCTTCATTTATGTTTTGGATATTGTAATTGTTGGCTGAATGTGCTAATTGTTTGCTTTTTTACTATTTTAATATTATTTGAATTGCATTATAATTGTCTTCTCTCGCGCACCCTTTGAGTCTTCTATAATACCATTATGGGAATTGCAACTGCGCACCCCACTTCTGTCAAGATAGCCAGTGGATCTTCGGTCCATGGTGAAGGATTTTTAGTCACACATGTTTAGAATGGGGAGCACCCATGAACAAAGTCGGAAAGCGCTGTTACCGGTACGTTGCTACTCCCTAACTCGAGTTGTCCGCTCGTTTTACAGTCAGTCTAGATACCTTTCTCCACAAGTTCAACCTTAGTAGAACTGAAACCTTCAGACATGATATCCTTACTAGGTTCCGCTTTATTTGCATCATGTGCATTTAACTTAGCAAGACTCGGCATGGGGGCCGGGTTTGTCTAGGACAGGTACCTTTCTTGAGACCATCATGTACATTTTTGTGCTACTTGTTGCATCATGTGGAAGACTATAACAAATGTTGACCAAGTTTAGATAATTGACTAAAAGAAGAAATGTCTATTTTTACCTACTTTCAGCAAATGATTCGAGATAAACAAATTGAAAATAATATATATATATATATATATATATATATATATATATATATATATATATAACCCTCAATTGTATTCTCGCTTTTATCAAAACATCAAGTGTTTACAAAATAAAATAAAATAATAGTGCATGTACACATAAAATTTGTTTTATTATATATATATATATATATATATATATATATATATATATATGTATATGTATGTATGTCTTCAAATTTGTTTCAAATAGTGCATGTCCACCTTTTTTTATTTCTTTCTCTTCTTCATGATTCACTTGTCAAAATTATCTCTTTATCCGGTCATTCTCTCCGAAAAACAACCTAAGCTTCCCCTAAGAAAGGTCAACAAAAGTCGTTTCCAAAAGAATGACCACTTTAGGCATTCTGAGTCATTTTTCATATTTATTTTTTTCTTTTAACTACTCCGACAAATGATTTCGAATGATCAAAATTTCATAAGTTAAATTTGGTTTAAATCGCGAGTTTCTTTTCCTAATCAGGTAATCATGAGATCTATGAGATGTGATAAAAGACCAAGGGATGAAGCAGTCGAAATGGTCAATGATACCCCAAAGTTCATGATCACGGATAAAACCCCACTACTACTCATGGCTTGGTGGAACGATATGCATGAGTTTAGGCGAACTGAGATATTCAAACGTCTTGGTTTCCTCACAGATATCATGAGATTTAGTCCTGACAGAGATTTGATCGAGGCTTTGATCCCGTTTTGGGATTCTACAAGCAATGTGTTTCGCTTTAGCGATTTTGAGTTGACGTATACATTAGAGGAGTTGGGTGGTTTCATAGGGTTAGACAAAAATCTCCGAAGCAAAACACTCATAGCCCCAAGAAGCGTCAGCGGGAACAAATTTTTAGAACAAATGCACATCATCCATCCTCATAAGGAGTGTTTCGATAATGGGTTGGTTTCCTTGGAATTTCTATACTCAAGATATGGAAAGAAAGAAGGATTTTCATACTACGGGAAGCAACTTAAAAATGGGTAACACCTCCCTACCTGGGAAAAGTATAGACATGCGCGCCTCAAAAAAGTATAGTACTCGATTCCATTACATGCATCGGGGGCAATCGAAAAAGCCAGCATTTCTTGGAATACTGACTATAATGCTACCAATAATTGTACTAATCCAACCGCATATGTCTTTCTCCTACCAAAAGGAAAGAAAAAAGAAATAAGGATTTCCCCTTTGCTTTGACAATGGAATTCTTCCCCCGGTCCCCTTCAGAAAAAGGGAGAGATTTTTTGATATATTTATTGGATCCGTCGGGACTGACGGGGCTCGAACCCGCAGCTTCCGCCTTGACAGGGCGAAGCATTCATGGTGGCATTTTTGGGAACCATGGTTTTTCCAAGGAGAGATAAAAAAATCAGTATTTGTCTGTCGGGAATAGTCGTTGTTATGATGAAGAAAAAGAAATCCACTATCTTGCCAATGATGTTGGCTGACATTTATCGTGCTTTGACTAAATGTAGGGAAGGGGAAGACTTTTTGAAAGTTGTAGCATTCTATTGCAAATGTGGTTTCTGGAGCACTTGTATCGCCATCGTTTTGCGATTGATTTCAAATCTGAATGGACGAATTATATTTTGAGCCACCCAGACAGGATGAAGGAATTAGTAGACAAATTGCCAAAAGGTGCCAAAGCGTGGAGACATTATCTTCTTAAATTAACTGCATCTGATATTACATGGAACTATTATTGGCTCCCTGCGAGTAAGGTAATTGTTATGTCTTCCTATCGTCCATTCTTTGTTCTGACAGGCCTTCGAGGATTCCAACCATACATACCCCTTCGGGTGCTACGCCAACTAGGACAAAGACAAATCTTACCTAGGGCCGAGGATACACAGAGTTTCGTATGAGAGGTGTCGTCTGAAGATCGAGATCGAGCATCAAAAGCTCAAAAGATTTGGGGTGGTAGTCGAACTTTAAGCTCGAAAGCTATGGTAGACGATCGTGTTGAAGGAGAAGTAGACCCCTCATACCTCCATTGGTTCTTTGATCAACCCCCCCCCCCCTCAAAGTAATGCCCGAAGGATCAGCGCGAGAACTCAGAGATCGAGAAGAGGAAATTGAAGTCAGAATCAAGCAAGCTCGGCTCGAGGAGGAAAGAAATTACAGGTCTACTCTGGATATCCTCAGTAATGACCTAAAGAATGCTAGGGAAAAGTTGGCTCAACGTGATGTAATATTCAAAGAGAGAGCTAGGTTGATTCAGAAAAGGGCCGAAAAGGAACATAAATCCACCATTCGAACCTTACATAAGGATTTGGGCATTGTCACAGGCGCTATGGAGCAACAACATGAGGAGTATAAGAAATAAAAGACCCTCTTAATGCACACACAGGCTAGACTACAAAATCAGTTAAAAGCTTCGATGGGACGAGAAATAGACATAGCTAAGCATTTCACATCGTATCAAGTAGAAGTCGCGATCGAGAGAAATCAATGGATGGGGGAGCGTGAAAAACTTCATAATCAAATCGAAGAGCTTTAGGCACATGAAAAGGATTTCGCCCACACGGTTGGTACTACTCAAGAATGGTTGCAGAATTGTCACGAGAATATGGAGGAGGCCAAAGAACAAGTGCTTCAACTGACAGAGAGCTTGATTGATGTTTATGGTGGTTATCTACATTGGAGTGATGAGAGCCTGGGTCAACATGCGCGTGCACTGTCCCCACATCTGCCAAAAGCTTTGTTCAAAGTCTACTCTAGCCTAGGGGGCAATTGATGATCAAGAAATATTGGAGAAGGATTTTTTATTATTTCTTTTATTTTCATTTCGTCAAAGTTTATTTCAATCTTTAAGTACTTTGATGTTTTGGTAATTTATTTTAAGAACATTTTGATGTGAATGATGTCTTCACGTTAAGTTAAATAAATGTTGTGTTTTCTTTTTTAAATAACTCTCCTTCAGGAAATACGTAATGATCTGATTCATGTTCAATATGATACATAGGCAACCTTTGACAGGTTCGATCAAATTGCGTTCAAAATATTCAGATGAGTAAAGTATGGGACTAAAAGACATAAGCAAGTCGTCCAAAGCCGGGATGAAACATAAAAGTCTTCCAAAACTCATTGTAGAAATAGGAATAATTTAGGTGCATAACATACAACATGTGAATTAATATTGCAAAGTGTTGAATCCTAACAAATTTGTTTTTATATATAAGAGAGAAAGAGTTTAAAGGTGGTTGGTTTATGAAGAGAGCTGGCATCTCATCAATATAACATAAGATCAAAAGGGAAAGCAAAAATGACACACAAAGACGAAACAGAGTCGAGAAATGACGAAGTCCAAAATCAAATGGTTGCACAAGAATCAGTATCTGTAGAAGAGGTCAAAATGTTGAGACAACAGATGGCCGAAATTTATGAAGCTTGGATGAATGGGTAGGCTCCCCCATCTTCAATTCGGGAATACCTAAATGTGAATATGCCATTCCCCATTCAAGTCTCAACAAGTGACCCGGTTTATCCACCTGGATTTGGACCCTACGTTAACATATCTAATACTGCTGGAACTTTCTCGGTACACCAGTTGAATCCACCTATGATGACCAATCCACTCTTCATGCCAACTGTGCAAACTAATGCAATTCCTCAACCAACACTAGTACAAAAATCTAATGATGATCCTATACCTAAAGATCAATACGGCCAAGGTCAAGCCCCTAAATTGACTTTCAAAATTCCTGACTCTTACCACCACACTCATCAATACAGTTCCCCTGTCGAGGTTGAAAAAACCACTAAGGACGAGGAACATGAAGAAATTGCAAGAAAAATGAGGAGTTTGGAGCAAAACATAAGGAATATGCAAGGGCTGGGAGGACACAAAAGTGTCTCGTTCAAGGACTTATGCATGTTTCCAGATGTTCACTTGCCTATAGGGTTCAAAATCCCAAAGTTTGATAAGTATAATGGTCATGGCGACCCAGTGGCTCATTTGAAAAGATTTTGTAATCAGCTAAGGGGAACCGGAGGAAAAGAAGAACTTTTTATGGCTTACTTTGGAGAAAGTCTAACGGATGTAGCCTCAGAATGGTTTATCGATCAAGATATTTCTCGATGGCATGTCTGGGATGACATGGTGCAAGATTTTGTCCAACAATAACAATACAATATCGATATCGTTCTGGATCGCAATTCCCTAGCTAATATGAAGAAAAAACCATCTGAAAGATTTAGGGAATATGCCATAAGATGGAGGGAGCAGGCGGCTAGAGTCAAACCGCCGATGAAAGACTATGAATTGATTGATGTTTTTCTCCAGGCACAAGAACCTGACTATTTTCATTACCTTCTCACTGCAATGGGAAAACCTTTCGCCGAAGCAATTAAGATCGGAGAAATGGTAGAGAACGGCATAAAATCGGGTAAAATTGTAAGCCAGACAGCCATTAGAGCTACCACGCAAGCAATACAGAGCGGGTCAGGTAATTTTGTAAATTGAAAAAAGAAAGAGGAAGGGTCCATGATGACGTCTGGATCGAGAGGTGTTCAAATGGGCATGAACCACCCTTATGTTCAAGTCCAACAAGAACAATCTAATTCTCCTCAACATTATTACCCATCCCAATACACAGTTCTCAACACTTAAGCATATGTCCTACCTCCTCAGCACCAACAATGGTGGGCACCTGCCCCATATGGTTCTCGCTCCCAACAACAACATTTTCAGGCACCCCATAATCCACGTCCCCAGACGGATTATACAAGAGAACAAGGTTGAAAATAAAACTTTACCCCAATTGGAGAGTCATATACGAGTTTGTTGCAGAAATTAGTACAATTGAGATTGGTTGAACCTGTCAATCACTATTTTGTCAATCCGAATGCAAGAGGCTTTGATCCAACTGTTATATGTGAGTATCACGCTAATACTCCAGGTCATAGCACAGAGAATTGTTGGACTCTAAAAAGAGTCATTGAGAAGTTAATTGAGGATAAGGTAATTGAGATACGCAATGAGGAGGCGCCAAATGTCCCCAATAACCCACTCCCTGCTCACAATAAGGAGCATGTTGTGGGGATGGTAGACATTTATGAAGATTGTGAGCAAACTTGTAGAAAAAAAAATGAAAAGCAGGGATTCAAAAGAAGAGTCGAGTATGGTTTTAGAACCCATACAAAAGGCACCGATAATTGTGAATGGTGCAAGTTCAAATTTTGGAGACTCGAGAAAACTAGTGTTGTATGTCCCTGGAGCTGTAAAAAGAAGAGAAGTACAATTGAATGGACCAAAATTATACATTCCTGGTAAGCTTCGAACATTTGGTCAAAATCAAGAAAGTGTGAAAGAGCCAGTTGTGATACAAATTGCAACACAACTTCCGATGACAAACACCAAGACCGTTCCATGGAACTACAACAAAAGTCATTGTTACCCACAAGGGAAAGGAGATTGTTGAAGAAACAAATGAAACAAAAGGATTAAATCGTTCTGGGAGGTGTTATGCTCCAGAAGAATTAAGAAGAGACAAACAAGCCAAAGAAAATCAGTTGCCGATTAAAAAACCTGTCACTGAGGAGGAGGCTGAAGAGTTCCTGAAAAAGATGAAAGCTCAAGATTATTTTGTTATTGATCAGTTGAGGAAAACACCCGCTCAAATATCCTTGTTGTCATTACTCATACATTCTAAAGAGCATCGTGAAGTTTTGACCAGAATCTTGAATGAGGCACATATCTCAGAAAGTATCACGGTGGGTCACTTGGGAAAAGATTGCCAAACCGAATATTTGAGGTAAATAGAATCACTTTCATTGATGATGAATTGCCTTTGGAAGGATCTGGGCATAATAAGGCACTACATTTAACCGTCAAATGAGAGGGTCATGGTCGATGGAGGATCGGGTGTAGACATATGCCCTCTTTCTACTCTACAAAGGTTGAAACTCAACACGAATAGAATTCGTACTAACGATGTCTGTGTGCGTGCATTTGATGGCGCAAAACGGGACACTTTTGGTGAAAT